CCTCTCCTGTTTGCCGACTCTCCCCCCGATGTTTTTGACTTTCTTTGCTGACACCGGCCCTGCCCTCAAGTCAAATGCTGACGACAGTGGTGATTGTGAATCTGACGGTGCAGGCGGTGATACTGTTGCCGACACAGATGATGATGCGGAGGATGTTGGCGTTGAAGCTGAAGGTGCAAATGTCACTTCGACAGTGTTGCCGGGAGTGATACATTGCCTTGTGGCTTGCGGTCATCACAGCCGCAAAACCGAGGCGGCCGTCACCCAGATGGATGGGCGCAGCTGCGGCAAGGCTTGGCCCGAGGCCTTTGATGCCGTGGCCCGGCTTGCAGCCACAAGGCTTGGTGGAAGCTGTTGGCTTTGGGACTTCGAGGCTCCAGGGTTTCAGGGTTTATAAAACAGTCTCAGTGGTCTTTGGTGCGGCACCTGAAACACCCGAAACCACACCTGAATTCCTGGATGCGAAAGCTGCCGCAAGCTGCAGCCCGACCTCGATTTCGTCCTAGGTCCTCCTTGATGCACCTTGCTCGGGGGAGTCGCTGACCAGACGAGGTGGGCTGTTTTTCGTCCCGACATGGCCCAATCCTCTATCGTGTGGCAATGATGAGTTCGTCTCGGGCACTGTGTACAGCACCAACATGTCTGTGCTTCGAAAGAGCTGGAAGCCGGAGGTGAAGACTTTGCTTCGTCATTGGATCAGTCTCCGGCGTACATAGAAGGACTGTCCCTCGCCAGACACAAGGAGAAGTTGAGCTCTACAGGGTTCGAAGGACCACTGCACGTTTCTCTGGGCACCGATTGTGTTCGATATCACGAGCCCGCAACCTCTCAGCAGACACCTCGCTGTGCGATCTCGTGAGGTCCAAGCTTCAACGACAGCTCATCTCGTCTGCTTTCCAGGCGCCACAGCAGTAGGTTGCAGGCAGGACGCCCCAAGAGGTCCCACATTGCCATGTCCTGGAGCCTTCCAAAGTGGTTCTTCCAGCTGCCACGATGCAGATCGTGGTTCTGATCCCCGAGCAGCAAGGGCTCGTTGCAACACCGACATCATGCCATGGAAGAATTGGAGCAAGACTGTAGATGCGGGAAAGTCAACCCGCCCTAAACGCGATTGGGTTTTCGTGACAATAATTGCCTCGCACATCGGATGCAAATCGGGCACGAATAAAGGCATATGTTAGTGTAGTTATCAAGATGGACGCACCTATTGATACTTGTCCTGGGGATGCTTGTTCGAAACTTCGGCCTTTGGCCGAGATCAACCTGAATCCTGACTTAAAGATCTGTTGACCGAGGCGTTGCGTGTTGGTGGCGTGCTGGTCTACAGCGCCCTGGCCAGGTCGAAGAACATTGAGCTTGAGAGCAGAACAGGGGTACGGGCATGTCGCCCGATGTAGTAGAGACCTGGTGTTGAGGCATGCAGCTCCGACCAACCCACATCTGATACCCAACTCCTCTCAGGCACATGCACCTTGAACATTAAGGAGAACGAGGAAGTGTGCCATCGCCTGCATGAAATATCATCTTGGCTTTGTATGCGGTCTTTGAAAGGCCTACGCGAGGTTTGAGTTGGAGAGAGCATGCTAACAGGTTTCGAGATTGGTGTAGAGAATGAGTGGGAAAGCCGCAATCTGCCTTCTCTGCCAGAAGGTGTATGCGCGTTTCCGACCAAAAACCTCAAAATGTGAGCCACGTTGGGGCTCGTCGGCTCCAAGATCCCTCAGGTGCCACTTCCTGGAAGAGTCCTTTCCGGGAGCCGTTGAGCGACTGCCCCTGGACGGACTGCCAGGCCCACGCCATCGTGTTCCCGACTCTCCTACATGTCATGGAATCCTCTGCAGCTATCGCCTCCTTCCTGGTGTCGTTAGTGTTAAGAAAGTTGCGCCGAGTCTTCTGCTTTTCCAGGCGGCGATTTGTCTCTGCTGCGGGCCGTAAAGAAAGAGTTTGCAATCCAGCTTTCGTGTTGCGAGGAGACTTGTACTGCCTGACCATTGCGAGAAGCCGAGAAGCCTGAAACAGAGCGGTTGGTTTATCCGGAGCCCAACAGGCACGGAGTCCATGCAGACGGTGGGCGGATGCCTGAGATGCTGGCCGCAGCTCTCGGATACGCAGGTGAACCGCCACAGTCTAGAATGTCTAATGTCCAGAGGCTCGCTTGATGTGATAACCTCATGTTGCATCAGCCGTTCGGGGATCTCTTACTTGCAGGTTCGGTAGGGCAGCTTTGGGCGTGTGTGGGGAGTGGCACAAGGTCTCTTGTGGGCATTGGCAAGCACACATCAGCTTGCCAGGGCTTCTTCGTGGCCCGCTTCCGGAAAACGGCAGCTCGCTCCGAGGTTGCGAAGGCGTAGCGATTTAGGACTTTGGAGGAGTTGCGATACCTTGATACGTTGCATCAAGAAGTGATGGTAGCAATACCGCTGTTAGTAGCAACGATACTGTAGCAGTCATGATATGATCCGAGAGAGGCCGCCCCTGGCGACAGCAAAGTTCTCTCGCCTCTCAGCAGCCGCGAGGCACACACAGCATGCTGAGGTCACGGATCACGGATTTCTCTCAGCTTCGCTTTCACCAGTTCCAGGCCTTGGCCGTGAAGCGCGCCTTCCTTAACGCGCCCCGTCCTCAGAGCAGCGGAGGAAGCCGCAAAAGGAGACGCAGCGGCCGAGAGTCGGCGCCGGTGATGGCGGGATGGTGGCTGTGGTGATGCCGAGGACAAAGGGGTGTTGTGGGACGGAGAGTCTTCCCTTCTGCCAGGTTCGGCGATTGCCCTGGCTTAGATGGCTCAAGGCTACGCCGGCGGAAGAAGGAGGTCTGGCTCCTCCCCGAGGCCGAATCGCCACCAAGCTTTAGCTTTACTCGCTTTTGCTTTCCTGCAAGAGGTGCTGCAGGACCTTCCCTTCTCCGGGCCCCGGCGCGTCGGCATCCGCATGGCGATGACCCGCAGGCCAAGCGCGAGCGACTGTCGGCCAGACTCCGCAACTTGCTTCCTGCCCCAACGAGGCATGACCTGTCCTATCCCGCTCACATGGAATGGGCCAGGGGCTGAGGCTGCGGCGTCTCTCTCTCTCTCTCTGTGTGCGCGCAGTTCCTAGACCAGGCTTTCGGCTCGAGGCCTGTGCCATGGGCCTCGGAAGCGCCCTTGGTCTAGGCGACCTCTCCGCGGCGTCCTTCGGATGCCCCTGGGCGCAGGCTGGGATCTGGGAAGGCTTCTTGCCGCTCGCGAGGCATGGGCCAATCACTTCTGAGAATATCAGCCAACTTGCAGCCTCTGTCAAGAGAATGTATGGTTGGGAGTACTATTTTGCGGAAGTTGCCATCATCGAGGGCCGGGTGTTCCTTCGAAGAACTGGTGTTCATCTGGGTGGATGGCTAAGATCCACCCTTCGTCTGATTGAACACTCTCTGCGTCTTTACGAGAGGCCTCTTCCAGATGTTTTCTTCGTCCTGTCAGTCCATGACGAGGCACACCTGGAGAAAGCAAGATCCCCGCCGTTGCCCTTGTTGTCAGCGCTCTCCACTCGAGCCCACTGGGACATCCCGGTTCCGGGACAAGCCTGGTATGAAGAGTCTGGTGGAGTTTCCTCCCACGATGTCGAGCAGGATTTTGGCCTTTGGGAGTCTTTAGACTGGCAGAGGAAGATTGAAGTGAAGTATCCCTGGAAGACTCGCTCTCCGAAGGCCTTCTTTCGCGGCCACGATTGGGCATCTTCCAATGCCTTCACGGAACATTTGCCAAGCAGAAATCCGGAGACGTGCATAGCCTCGCACGATTTGTCGACCTCGTTTTCCTACCGGCGATGGTACGCCGAGCTGGCCCAAGGCCCTTTGCAGCATCTCCTTGACGTAGGCCTTACGGGGGCGCCGAACTTCGTCCGGGAGAAATACCCCAAGCAAGCCTACGTGCAGCCGGTGTCTTTGCCTGAGCATGCGAGGGTCTCAGCTTGAGGGCACCCGAAACTCTAGATGGGAGGCCAAAGTTAGGAAGGCTTAGGCGCCGCAGGCCTGCTTGTTGTCGGGTGCCACGACCCTGAACAGAAGCCCGAAGTCTGCTCTGGCCCTGGAGGCGGCACACAAATTCCTGCTGCATCTGGATGGAACTGCTGCCAGCAACCGCCTCCTCAAGCTACTCTTCATGGGCTCCGTGGTCTTGAAGCAGGACTCGGTGTACGAGGAGTTCTTCTACAAAGATCTCACGCCATGGGTTCATTTCGTGCCGATCTCCAGGGATCGATGTACAACTCAGAACCTGACGGATACGCTTCGCTGGCTTCTCGATCATGACAACGAGGCACAAGCCATCGCAAAGGCAGGGCAAGACTATGCAAGAGAGCATTTGTCAAGGGCCGGGGCAGCTTGCTACTGGAGGAGAGTCTTGACCTCGTATGCAAGCCTTCAGGCCTTCGACGCACGGCTGCTGATCAACATGTCCGATTGGCGGGAGTGGTGGAGTTGATATCCACAGGGCAATCTTTCATAAGGATGCCATGCAGATCGAGGAGAAGCACCGGACGCCATGTTCCGGCCTGCAGCGCAACGTCGAAAGACTGGAGACGGCGTCATAGTTCGGCGGCGACAACGGCTTCAGGGTCAGGGAGGCTGCTCAGACGGACAAGCAACAGGCCCTGCAGCACTGGCGCCGATTTGCCTTTGATGGGCCAAACTTAGACCCAGCCTTTCCGTCTCATTTTTGATGGGGCCCTGACCATGAAGCGCGTGCCGACTCGGGCTTCAAATCTCTGCGAAAAGGCCTGAATCGGACTCCCGCCTGCATGTGCCCCATGTTATGTGAAATGCCCTACATGAGCCCAGTTGTCAAAGTGTCCTCCCCCAGCAACCTCCACAATTCCTGATCCCCCAGCGGAGAGGTTTTGTCCTTTGGGCATCACTTGCCGGAAGACAGCCTGGGAGCCTGGCCCTTAAAGGCTGCATGAGGCTGCGAGACAGCAGGAGCAGGTTGAGCAAATGTGAGCAGAGTCGCAGGTTTGCAGCTCGGGTGGTGGGGTTGCGGTGACAGCACTAGCAGCACCATTGAACATGACACGGTGTATTTCTACTTATTCCTTGAGCGCATTAGATCCAATGCTTCTGCAGCGTGTGGTGTGCCCATGCATAGGGTGATGGAGGCATTGACTGCGTTATGGCATGGCCCAAGCGGTTTGTGAAGGTCGCTGAGCTGTCACGGACCTCGGCTATGGCCTTCTGTGCAGGGGAGGCCTGAAACATTGATCATCATGATGAAAGTCATGAAGAGTAATTACGGAAAGTGGCACCGTCGGCGGTTGCAACAGCAACGTACAGCGACGCTAATGAAAGCCTGCAGTTGCAGTCAACGAGCGACAGTCATGGTACCACGAATATTGGGAAGGATTATGAGACGAATTCTGACAGAAATCATGATGATAGAAACTAGCAGAATCCGGGTTTCTGTGCGAAGCAGTAGTAGAAGTACTTGCACTTGTTCTTGTAGTGGAAATCGTAGTGGCAGAGTAGCAGTAGCAGCAGTAATAATAGTAGTAGTAGTCGTCGTCGTTGTAGTCGTCATCGTAGTCGTAGTTTGTGTTAGTAGTAGTTAGCAATTAGTAGTAGTGTTAGCAATTAGTAGTAGTCGTAGTAGTAGTAGTCGTCGTCGTCGTCGTCGTGGTGGTAGTGGTAGTGGTAGTGGTAGTGGTAGTGGTAGTGGTAGTGGTAGTGGTAGTGGTAGTGGAAGTGGAAGTGGAAGTGGTAGTAGTAGTGGTAGTAGTGGTAGTAGTGGTAGTAGTGGTAGTAGTGGTAGTAGTGGTAGTAGTACCAGCAGTAGAAGTATTGGTGGTGGTGGTTGTGTTAGCAGCAGCAGCTGCAACAGCAGGAGGATAGGAAGAGGACGAGGAGGAGTAGTAGCAGCAGGAGGAGCAGATGGAGGGATTAGCAGTGGGAGGAGGAGGAGGAGGAGGAGGAGCAGCAGCGATCATGCGAGCATGATGTCGATAATCACGTGAGTATTAGCCACATCACTGCCAAATTGAAGAAATGCTCAGTAGTTCTCGGCTGTCAGATTAGGAGTTGCAGTCCAGGGAGCGGCGCTCCGGGCGTGCAGCGTGTGCAAACTCAGGCCTCTGCTAGCTTAAGACGGTTGCTCGAAACGCACCGGGCCGCCAAGCAGCCCCCCACCTGACCCGACCACTTCTATCCCAAGACTCGACCCGGATCAAACAGCGACAGCCAAATTCCGGGCCGCCCAAGAGATCCCAAGACTGGTTCGCCAGAGATAAACAGAGACTTGCATCAGAAGACGAAGCCGTTATTCATAGCAGCAGCTCTTTGTTGCTGCCATGGCGGCCGTGATAGGACGCTGCCTCATCATTTGGTGCCTTGCCTGCAAGCAGGTTGAGAGGACGGATCTCGGTCATCCAAGAGCAAGTTTTCGTAAGTCAGCGAGACCAAGCATGGGGGAAGGTTGCTCAGTCGGCCAAGGCCTTTGCCGAGTTCTTGCCTCTCACTGCTCCAGTCAGTGTTCCTGATTACACTCGACGAAGTAATGCTGCCAACGCGCCATTCAGCATGCTACATTCAGCACGTTTGACAGACGGCCAGCAAGGGTATAGCCTAGTTTCGAGGAGGATGCTGTCTCTCGCGCGCTCTCTCTCGCATTGTCGTGCATACGCGCGCACGCGCACACACACACAAACAAACACAAAGCACAAACACAAGCACAAGCACAAGCACCAACACTAACACTAACACTAACACGAACACGAACACTAACACTAACACGAACACTAACCCACACACACGCACAAACACAAACACAAACACAAATGCACACACACTAACACAAACAAATATATACACACACACAGAGCCACTGCCAGTTGCACTTACACGATTTTGGCTTGCAGCCATCGATCTGAACTCTCGTGCTTTGGTCAGACTTCGGTGGGTGTCTTCTTCACATGTTTCGATGCCGTTGATTTCACATGGGCATCTGGTTCCGGGTCGCTCATCACGCCTTCATATGCAAAAGTAAAATCCTGGCTGCGACTACGAGACGAAGCTGCAATTGCCGGTTTGGTAAGCCTTACTTACTGACTTACTGCTTTCTTGCTCAGCTCACCTTTCTGGTCTGCTTTCGGTTGTTTTGCCTTCCTTTTATCGTTTTGTCCTTAATCTTGTTTACCTATACCTTTGTCCTTATGTTTATGTCTCACTTTCAGGTTTACCTGTACCTGGACCTGTCACTTTTGTGCTTTACTTCATTCTACTTTACTTTGCTTTATGTGACTTTGCCTTTGGCTTTACATTCACCTCCTACCTTTTTATCTCTGCTTTGACTTTTGCTTTTACCCTTTCCTTACCTCATGTTTTCCCTATCTGTTGTCGGCACCCTTGCTTTTCCTGTTGATTTTGCATTCACTCGACGCGATCTGGCTTGACCCCCCTTTGCTACACAGTGCTTCGCGACCGCTGCCTTGCTTTTACACGTACTTTCCTGTGCTGTCCTTCACTTCGCTTCGTTTCGCCCCGCTTCACATCATTCAATTTACTGTCATATGTGGACACATTTAAGACTTGTGCGTATACAGTACTGATGTATATGGATACAGATATGGACAGAACTAAACAAGGCTCAGACGAAACGCTAGGCTAGGCAGATGGAATACCTCGCGATAGAGAGATTTAGGTGCAGACAAATAAGAGATGTGCAGAAGTACCAGAGATAGGCGCAGACAGGATGTGCCAACGAATGCTTAAGTTAGCAAGTGGCGGAAGCTAGACGCGATGAGGGTAACCGACCTGCCTGGGTAGCCGAAACTGAGGCTCCTTGTTGGGTTGGCTGTTGCGGAGCTGCGGCAATTGGCTGGCAAGATCCATTCCCTTTCTGGGCCTTAAAAGAGTTTCAAGGTCTTGTGGAAAGTCTTCAACTTGTTGTGGGCTAGTTCCGCTTGTCCTTGCAGCAAGCCCATGTGCCTCCGATGCACATCTCAGAGGTTTCACAGCCCAGAAGCCCCTTCGAATCCTTAGGAAGGTTGTCCTCGTTTATCTGAATCCGAGGCACGGCGGGCGTGCCCTGAAGGCGGGGCTCTGCAAGGAGAACGAGGAAAGTCTCGAACACCAGGGATCCCACAAAACGCAAAGCCCCAAAAGAGTTCGACCACACAAAAGCACCGACTACTATGGGCCTCGGCAAGTCTGCTGTGTTCCGCACAAACCGACCCAGGTGGAGGGTGGAAGGTTTCGGGGCTTAGATAGAAATGTTAGCTTCAACGGGCCCCAGCTTGATGGGACTTCGTTCGGTCACCTTTTGTGGAAGGATCTTGGACGGACTACTTTCGAGTCTGCGGTTTCTTGTTTTTTCCAGCCTCGATCTTCCGATCATTGTCTAAGGAGAAGGACAAGGATCAGAAGAAGAAACAGCAAGCTCTGTCGCTCAGCTGCCGCCAGATCCCGTTAGTCTTGCTGTTGTGTTGGACAACTCGCAGCCTCAGAGTCTCACAGACGGAATCCGGACCTCGGTTCATAAATCCAGTGATGATTAGACTTTGGGGAAAATGGGCTTCGCTTCATTCAAACCTCCTTCCCGGACTGCAAACTGGAACGCTTGCAGGAAACAGCTGAAGGAGCAGGTTGCACAGTTGACGCAGGAAAAGAACACCCTCAGCGACGAGGCAAGTGTTTTGTGTGGAAGCTTGTATTTCCATCTGTTTGGGTCGATGGCTTGTACACTGATTGCTTGTTGCTCGTCCTGACGTCTTCCAGGGAAAAAAGAGATTTCTGCTTTCGTCTCTTCGCGATGCCTGACGGGACGGGTTTCAGACTTTGGGGCTCCGGTCTGAGTGTGTGGCAGGTCAAAAGCAATGCCCGCGATGCCTCAGCCAAGGTGCGCTTTTCGGTGTTCTTGCGTGTCCGTGGGAGCTCCTAAGTATGCGTGCAGACAGCTTACCGTCGTCGCATTTTTGCAGAGGGTGCTTAGTAGTAGCCTTACCGTCGCTAGAAGGATCGCTGTGGCCGCAGTGTCCGAACAGCCATTACGAACAGTCACCAATTGCATACTTCCGTGCATGCCACAGGTGTTGAACGTAGTGTGTTTCGTGTAGCCTGGGTAAACGTCGTAAACGCGCAACATCTCGGTGAAACTTTACATGAAAGTTACAATGCCTGTGAGGCCAGGCAGATAGCCGAGCTCACCGCGCAGGCCCGGGAAGTGGCTCCGTCTGCATCTGCAACTGCACCGAGCGGCACCGGAGTGAGGTCTCCCAACAGCAGAGCACCATCGCCAGCCTCCGGGCCGAAGTCGCAAAGAAGCCGGGCAGCCCGGGCGAAGCCCGCAAGAAGCCTGGGGCCACGCTTGGGGCCAAGGCAGCCCAGTGCTGCGGCCGGCAACGCCGAGATGGAGGCAAAGAGGCACTCCTTTGGCCGGGTCTGTGTGACATCATGGCTCTTACCTGGGGCTTCTTGCGACTCTGCCAGCGTGGGTCAATTCACGGAGTTCTATCCTTCGACCAGGTTGGAGAAGCTCACCGCAGAGGCTTCGCGGCAACAGCAGGCAATGGGCCGCACAATTAGGAATTGGCTTCGGGAAATCGCAATGCAACGGCTGCCCTTTGCATGCAGGAGATTGCATCCCTGACCTCGCAGCTCTCAGCGGCCCGGCAGAAGAATGTCGCTGCTTAGATAGTTGGGAGGTGCCGTGCCTGCGGCATATATGAACTGGAGCAGCCGTGCTTGCTTCAGGCATTGAAGATCAAGCACGAGACGCTGCAGCAGGCCAGTCCGCATTTGCAGCTGCTTTCCGGCCCCTCGAAGCCAAACGACCGAAGTAAGCCGATGCAGGAGTATGGCGACCCGTCGATTCGCTACTTCCTGGCCTCCAAGGCACGGATCAAAGTCAGATGCCCCAACGACTATCTTTGCCCCGTCCGTTTCCGTCACCCCGGCACATACTGGAAGGCCACGAAGGTCTACGGAGATCCAGGCATCCAAGGTCCATGGCCGAGATTTTCGGCACGATGTATATAATCCTGACTTCGGGACCTTGTCTCGTCCGCGATGATGCTCAAGCCCACAACTGAGGCGCCGCCAACAAGACCTTCAAGTACGTCCTGCCGCACATCGCCGAGGCGCTGAAGACCAGCACCGAGGCACTGGGAACATATCCTGTCTTGCGCTCGTTCTTCAGCGTGGCTCTCCTACCCTTCCTTTGTTGCACTATGCTGCTTGTGCAGCATGGCTCGGCGCTCTGTCCGAACCAGGTGTACGCGGCCCTGAACGAATCACTGCTGGCCCTTCGCCCAGACTTCGCTCCAAGCGTGGGATCCGGTGCTTCTTCAGTCATCGTCCCCCTTGTCCTGCTCTGGACAGCATTGAACAGCATTCGCGAGCCTGAGGATTCGATGCACAGCATCTTGGGGTCGGAGACATCCTTCGAGCCAATGCTGCTTGCACTGCTGAGCCTTTCTTTCAGGTTTCTGTCTTTCACAGAAAACAGACCTCACAGAATGCAGGCTGCCGACGATGTCTGCCTTCCTCGTCTATGGTGCCTCGGCGTGGACCTTTCGGCAACACCGGTAGGTGGAGGTAAAGTCTTTCTTCAAGAAGATGAGCCTACCAGCACTCCCGCCAGAGGCATGATCTGCTTCCCTGTAGGCCGGGGGTGTTCGTCTGGCGCGTTGAACGTCTTGGGAGTCTGGCGACGGGTTGCTGGATGCCGCGGAGCACCTGCTTCTGCCTGGAAGCGCAACTTGCTTGCAGGCCTGATGCTCTCGTACGCACTCGAATGGGCTCCTTGCTCGAAGCGGAGAGAGAAAAAGAACTGCTGCACAGGCTTTTCAGAGTTTTTCCACCGGGTTCTCTCGGTCCGGTCCGGTGATTCTGGGCGGGAAGGATGCAATGCAACAGAGAGTGGAAGCTCAGCCAAAGGCCCCCTGAAGCTAAGAAGATGCCCCAGAGTCATGGGCCGCTCCCCAAGGTTTGCAAGCTCCGGGAGCTCCTGCTGCTCGCCGGGGACGGGGCTGTGGGTTTGATGGACGTCCCACTTGTCCTGGGAGCTCGTCCTGGGATTGCCGGAGTTGATGACAAACTCTCAAAAATCTCGTGGTGTGGCCCAGACCCTGGAAGTAGCAGAACCTGAGGTTCCGCGGCCAAGCCTCCCGCGACCAGCCCCTCCCAAACCGCGAGCGTACTGGGATCCCAGGCTTGCGACCTCTTTCTATCTGGCAGCCGGGCTGAGAGTGCTCTTTATTGCTCTTGTTCTCCACCTGCGGTCAGGTTTAGGGTTTATGATTTGCCGCTCCCTCAAACTTTTGAGTGGCACGAAGACTGAGTCTCGCAGGGCATGCGGCTTGGAGAGTGTTTATGCACCTGTTGCTTCCTGTTTCGTTCCTTGGCATGTGTAGGTACACACTCTAGCCCCTGCAACCCGATTACAAATTCTCCTGCACTGGCTAGGCCTCGAAAATCCTCGGGATGAGTCTCTAAACTCAAAGCCCTGCCGTGACTCAGTTTTGCATTTCCGCATTGGCGGCCGGTTTCGTCGCCGTTACGCAGCGGGATCCGCACTTCGGCTTGCTTTCAGTTCAGTGTGCACCTGGACCGGCGTTTGACTGCGTTTCGAGTTTTTGCTCTGGGTAGTGTCGAGGGATCCACTCCTTGTGACAGGGTCTAAAGAAGGGGGGTGATCAGCAAAACCCACCATTTCCACTTCCCGACAAGACTCTATCTAGCTCGAACCTGCAATCTTCACCCAGACTGCCTCAGAAGCTCCATAGACGAAAGCCCTTGGAAGCTCTTGCGAGCGCCCAGGCTGAAGGAGCTCTACGAGCATGACTCTTCAGTGCCCTGTCGATCCTGTCAAAGCAGATCTCAGAGCAAATCTTCTGGCTTGAGGGGGGTCCTGCTCGTCTTGAGACTGTCCGGCACTTGTCATGAGCGGCCTGAAAATAAGTAGATCAGAGCCCGACGCAATTCTTCCGATAATCTAGGCCTAGTCCCCCTGCATCGAAAACTGCTACTGGGCGTGGGCCCAAGCGCAAACTCTCAGGTCTTCGTGCTGCAGCAGTCGGGCTTCTTCGTGATCTTGGTCGTCCAGCTTCTGCTGATCGCGCCTCTTGGCTGCCAAACGCGCCTTACAGCCTTAGGCCCCATGCTATATGCATAATGGGTATCATGAGTCTGGCCTCCATGTTGTGCGTGAATATCCACAAGTCTGCATGGATTCTATTGTCAAGCAGCACTGCCAGACATAGGTGTCAATATGTATCTGAATGTTGATGTGAACAGTGAACAGTCTGCTGCTTCCCTCATTATACACGTTTGAAAGCCGACGACGAGCGCAGGATTGCACTCTGCGGTGCGGCCAGCGCAGATGATGTGCCAGTCCAGGCAGTCCTGGGCATGTGGAAGATAACAATCCATCTCAGAAGGCATGATATCTATGATGATGATGATGATGATGGCGATTATGGCGGTGATGACGATGATGATGATGATGATGATGCTGATATGACTACTGGATGATGATGGGTATGGTCACGGTTATGACAGTGATACTGCAGAAGATTGTATATGATGATGACAGTCATGACGAAGAGGACGGTTAGGATGGGTGGTCGTGCTCGTGGTAGTAGTAGTGTAGTGGTAGTGCGTTGGATGGAGGAAATCTTGCACCGCCCAGATGCCGACTCATGATGACCATCCCATTTCGTTATCGTTGTAGTTGTGGTTGTTGCTGTCGTCATTGTTGTTGTGGTCGTGGTCGTACTCGTGGTGCTTCATGTTGTTGTTGTTGTTGGTGGTGGTGGTGGTCGTGGTGGTCGTGGTGGTGGTTGCTGCTGTTGCGGTTACCGCTCCTGCTTCTGCTGCTGTTGTAGCAGCTGACGCTGCTGCTGCTGGTGTTGTCTGTTTTTGTGGCGACATCACCGTCCTGATCATGCTTATGATCGCATCGTCGTCATCGTCTTGCAGTCTTGCTGTTCTTCCTCATCATACAGAAGCTCGCCGTCATCGTCATCATCACCCTCATCACCGTCATCATCACAATCATTATCGTCGTCATCATCATCACCATCATCACCATCTTCATTGTCATCATCATCTTCTCCTTCATCATCCTCATCATCACCACCATCATCCTCATCTTCATATTCATCATCATCATCATCCCACCATCATATTCATCATTTTCTCCTTTTTCTTCATCATCATCGCCGTCATCACCATCATCATCATCATCATATTTTTCTTTGTTTCTTTTTCCCCATCATCATATTTATCATCTTCTCCGTTTTCTTCATCAGCATCGCCATCATCATCATCATCATCATCATTGTCATCATCATCTTCTCCATCTTCGTCTTCATCATGGCCATCATCATCATAATATTCTTCTTCATCTTCTTCATCTTCATGTTCATCTTCATCCTCCTCATCATCAGCAGCAGCTTCTTGATGTCTCATTTTTCAGAAATGTCATCATAGGTTTGCTTCGCCACTTGAGGCCACAGCTATGAAACCAGCAATTAATTAGACCTCAAGATCACATGCCGCCTCTTTCCGGAAGCTAATTGCAGGTCTGGCTGATGAGGCCTGTGGGGCTAGTGGCTATATGGTAGCTGCTATTTCAACCAAGCATGGATGAACAGGGAGTTCACTGATTCTGAGGTTGGCTGCTGCCGCAGTTTCGTTAGATGCTGAGCTGTGATTGAACCTCCCGTACAGGCGAACATCCGAAAAGTTTTTTGGTGTCTTTGCCACGTCATGGGCTGGACATACTAGCAGAAGTGAGTGCTGAGAGAGTACAGCAAGAAAGCTACAACCGCCGGCACGTGCGCAGGCTTTGCCAGCACCTCGATTCAACGAGAGTTTCTTCTCTTTGCTCGGACGTTGTGTGCAAGTGCTGGGCCTGAGACGCTGCCATGAAACCGCTTGCTGAGCACCGGCTGCACCTCCAAGGACCATCTTCATGTTCTACTTCGGCCCCTGGAATGCAAGGGCTATGGAGTTTGGTGTTGTGATGGAGGCTGCAGGTAGCATAGTCTAGTGGCAATGCAGGCTGCAATCAGCATGGCAATTGGTGATGTGCTTGCTGAAGTGCTTCCCGGGTTCTACGAAGAGTGTTTTAGCAGCTGCCCTCCAGGCACCCTCGTTGTGTCAGGAAGGATGATTTAGATTGTGTAGCTTAGAGAAGTACGAAGAAGTCTCCACCGCTGGAGAGGCTTTGTCTACTACCGGCTCGTGTGGACACCCACGATGCTCGACGAGGCCTGATACCATTTTCAAGCCACATGTTGCACTCGGTACATTCCCGAGCTGCTTTGCGAAGGCCGCAGAGTCTGTTGATCAAGAGCTGTCTGCCTGCTTGCGGACATGCAAAAGTAAGCCATTCTACAACAGGCATGTGCAATTTCAACACATGGTCTCATGCTGACTGAGCTACTATCCCCTTTGCTTCTCGCTCGGCTCTGCTGTCAGCCTTTCGTGGGATAATGCGTCCCAAACTTCTATCTTCGATGGCAGATTGTCGATCTGGTTGACTTGTCTCGTCGTTTCTTGCATGTTGTCATGGTGTCTGTTCCCGGCTTTGAACTTGTGCTAGCAACCTCGAGCTGGGCATTGATCTCTACCGACTGTAGGGGCTAGCCATTAGCTTCTTAATGCTCGCAGTGCATGGTGTGTGCCATTTGTCTTGCAGTGTACTCTAACTACCCCAGAAGCAAGTTTTACCGTGCATACGGTTTTTCAGATGTTGCAGGTGATGTGCAACCACACCGAAGCGACACCATAGTCAGAACCTAGATGAAAAGCTTAGCCCCTCGGCCGTGGAGGCGCCGAAAACGGATGTCTTCGGAAGCATGACCCGTGGTTGCAGCACAGGGCTCTGATTTCAGTCTTGGGCTGAGTTTGTTAGGGATTCGGGCAATGACCACCTCTACCGCCATCACGCGCTCGACCACGACCACTGGGATTTCCATGAATACTACCAGCAGCTATGAACACCACGACGACTACTTCCTCGACGACTAGTAGTAGCAGTAGTAGTAGTAGTAGTAGTAGTAGTAGTAGTGGTAGTGATAGTAGTAGTAGTAGTAGTAGTAGCAGGAGTAGTAGTAGTAGTAGTAGTAGTAGTACTAGTAGTGGTAGTGGTAGTGGCAGTGGCAGTGGTAGTGGTAGTGGTAGTGGTACCAGTAGTAGTAGTCGTGCTGGTAGTAGTAGCAGTAGTGGTAGTGTTAGTGGTAGTGGTAAAAGACTACTACGACGACGACGACTACTACTACTACTACTATTACTACTACTACTCCTACTACTCCTACTAGTCCTACTNNTAGTAGTAGTAGTAGATGATGATAACGACGACGACTACTAGATCAACTACTAGTACTACTCTTGTTGCTGGTGCTGCTCTTCCTGTTGCTGCCCTTGCTTTGTTTCTATCTTGGGAGGCCGCGTGCATCTAGCGACCCGGTTGTTATAGACAGTGCTTTCAGCGGCGAAGGATTGGCATCAACGACAGCTCGAAGGGCCTGCCATACTCGCGACTTGACGCCTGTGGCACCCAAGGTTTACGACGTTGAGGTGCTGAGGGTTGTGAGCCTTGCAGTCCGGAAATATGACACCAAGGCTTGCTGCTGGCGGCTTCACACTTAATCTGGCGCCGCTCGCCTGCAGACTCACTGCCAGTGAAGTTGCAATGATGCTGCTGGATGTTGTGGCAAGGAACTCACGAGTGAGTCTTCCGGATGTGTTCAGATACGATCGTCATACTTGGCCAAACAAGCTGGAATGAAAAAGCGCAGACCGCAACCCGAGGCACACGAATAAGCGCTCGGCAAACTGTGTCAACGTTCAGGTGTAGTCTTGGGATCTCGTGACTTCCAGTGAGGTTAGAGTGGCGAGTGCAGGGGACACTGGAAGAGGCGCGGGACATCAAAAAACCTGCAAAGGCTTTGGTGGTGTGGTTCGCTTTGAAGCCTCGGGCAGGGCTGTGCAGTGCTAGGGCTTCCCCTAAGATGCCATACCGCAACTTCTTTAGTCACCAGGACCAAGCCGAGAAGGAAGAGAAGGAGGCCTAGGCCAGCCAGGGAAGACTTCGCTGTCTGCTTCCCGTCTGCCTGGCACATTGGGCATTGAGCCTCGGGCAGGTCGGCGGTCGCTGCGTTGGTGCTCAAAGCCGCGCCTGAACGCTGCACGTCTCACCGCGATTTATGTGGGTCTCGGAGCTTCAGGTTGCTCGCAGAGGTCGCCAGGCTCGAATGGCCGAAGCGAATTCTGACTCTGAGTCTGCATCGAAGTCCGCACGCCTGGAGACAATGGGAGACCTGAAGGCCCGGCCAAGACATCTTCGCCAAGTGAAGCCTCGCCCGATCCCCGTCTCCAGGCCGATCGTAGGTTCGTTAAAGCACCTTATGGCGGGACAGCCTCGCTCCCGAAGCTTCGACGAAAAAGGATGAACCTGGCTTTTGTGGTAATAGGATCAGCATTGCGATGATGATCGTGATGATCGTTTATAGTCAATTCGACTACTGTGATTTGCAGCAGCAGTCTCGTCGTCGTCATGGCCGTTGTCGTCGCGTGATTTGTGTCTATCGCCATTGGCAGAAGCACCTGTGCTGGACTTGTAGTGCGACTCGTGGTTCGCAGGATAGCAATAGCGGTATTCCCTGTAGATCTGCATGTGACCGTGTCGGAGCCAGGACGTGGAACCCCTTTGGACGAAGGCTTCGGCTGTGGCGATTGAGAACACCCAGGCCTCCACCGGCAGCGGAAAACGTGGAATGAGTGCAGAATCCGGATAACTAACTGCGTCAACACCCCAAGTGTTGGGCTGACTTCCGCATGTTATCACTTCAGGCTTGTCACCCGTTGTTAAGTTAATGTGGGGGTTGATGGAGTCTGCGAAATAGTTTGCCCTCGCTCGTCTTGATTCTGCCTGTGCTCGCCTCGCACGTCCTGCTGTGGAATACAGATGGCCCATATGGCTCACAGGGATGTTGTCGTTTTGAGATGGATTCCTGGAGCCCCCGCACTTCCACGCATAAAATAATTTCAAAAATGGTGCAAACCGAAGTATCCTGACATGATCAGAACTGTTTTCTATGTTCTAATGGGCAGCCTGAAGACCAGGCAAAGCCTTTCACAGTGGCTTTGTGCACGAGGGCTTTCTGTCGGTGCAGCAGGATTCTTATAGACAGAGAAACGGAGTCCTTGCTTACGAGAGTGCTCACCAAGTGCTTTGCGCTGTGCAGGCAGTCGTGAGGTACAACGACTTGGTGTTAGGCCCGCAACTCCCGCTGTGCATCCCGCTGTGAATTGCCCCAAAAGGATGAGCCGTAAGCGCGCCAAGACATTCGTGAATTTGGTCATCACGCGGGTTGGGGTGCAATCTGGTTCTCCTCTCCCTCTGCTAGGCCTTGCGAGATGGAAGGGTGGGATGCTTCGCAACGATGTGCCTCTTGGGAAGGGATCGGGGCTCTCGGAGTTGACCGCAGCTAAAGCCGAATCATTAGATCATTCGGGTGTTGGGTGCGGGCTTGACACTGTTCCACGCTTGCAAGCTGTTTCGAGTGGCATGCAGCCTAGGTTTTTTCAGAGCTTCATTGCCGGATCCCATTCCTTTCTTCCTTGCTATCGCTCTCCCTGCCGCTTTGCAGCCCAAGGTGCCACCGCAGTGGCGCTGTCCCGACATTGTTCTGTGATTGCGCCCTGCGAAAAAGCACATGCTCTGCAGATCCTGGGGTGCAAAGCGGTGCCGGTGTCCTCTCTTTTCAGCCACGCCGCCGCTTCCCCGCTTCTACCCCGCTTTTGCCCCCCGCTTTTCGGCTCCGAGGCCGGCCAGAACAGAACGCGAAGTCACGCGAGACCGCGAGAGAGCAGCGAGCAGCGGGCAGCCCCCGCCACAAAGACTCCCCCAGAGCCCACCTTCTTCGCCAAAGAGGCGCCCGCCAAACTCGGCCGGTTCGGCGCCAAGATGGCATCCCGACCCAAAGCCGTCTTTTCCTCCGGCGAGGTCCGCATGTTCGTTGCTTTGCTGGCTTCAGGTTCCAGATGAAGTCGTTTTCACCGGTACCCAGAGAATTTCTCACTGCAGAACTGCCAGTTTTGGCAAGTCAAGTCAGCAGGTGCAGAAGTTCTGTCAGGTCAGGCTGAGAACTGGCCCCAGAAACTGCGGAGTAATACGTACCAGTATGACAGACACAATACTAGACACGCTTTCCAACAGTCTGAGCATGAAACCCCCTGGTCTCTCTCCCTCTCTCTCTCTCTCTCTCTCTCTCTCTCTCTCTCTCTCTTTCTGTCTGTCTCTCTCCCTCTTTATGTCTCTCTGTCTCTCTGTCTCCCTGCTCTTTCGCATACGCATCGAAAGCAGCACCGAAAGCAGCAAAACCCTTGGAAGGCGCGGAGCCTGATCTCCAATGCTTCCGAGGCACGGGTGCGGTGGCGTCCTGGTGACGCAAAGCCTTGCTGTGGCATTCCTCCTTTCGTGTAAAATAGCAGAGCATATATCAGCCATCAGGATGCGGAAAGAAGGAGTCAAACACCAAATGCGAGATCTGGAACTTCAGCCAATCCTTGTAAAACCTTGGGTGCAGGCGCTCTCGGTCGCAGAGACCTCGCCTACTGCAGACGGGACGACGGTGCGCCGGATGAACACAACCACATGATCCAACATATCATGTGACCAATGCTTAGCTGCCACAATTGCCAAATGAGCACTTCAGAATGCCGTGACTTTCAGGAGCTGCAAGGCTTAAGGAGCGGTTTCTGTTTCTTCTGGCCGAGGCCTTCGAAGCGGCCAAGGCCGCGAAGGCATGGCCGGAGCCCGCCAATGTCCAGTCGAGTCGGGCTGCGTTTGGCTAGCGACGAGCGGCGACTAGACGTAGCTAGTCGTCAAGTCAGCCCTTGCTTCAGCGAGAAGGACAGGACACTCTGAAGGCCAAGGCGGAACACGGGATGAAACAGAAAGAAGACATCCTGAGGCCTGTCCAGCCAAAAAATGAGCAGAGGGAGGGGAACTGTGCAGAAGCACCAAACAGCAGCAGGGAGTGGCTTTCCCTTCGCACACGGGCCCTGGGAGGGAGGGCGGCAAGCGCTCTCGAACCCGACCGATGGGCCGGACAAGAACGCGCCTTTTGAAAAGGCGCCAACTCCCGAAGGCCCAAACCTGGATTCTTCTCCAGGGCCTGGGCTTCGCTAGCGCTCGAAGCGGCGCGGCGGTTTTAGCCAATACGCCAGGGCCTTCAGCTTGGGGTTTTTCTGAATTCGATTGCTTCGATTACGTAGGACTCCGTAGGACCATGATGATTGTTTTTCTTTACCCGTCAATGCTACCATCGCAGCACTAGTTTTGTTGCTGCGCTCAGGATTCGTTGGGTCATTCCCTTTGTTTTGCTCCGAGCCCTAACATGACATCACGGCCTTCAAGTAGAAGCTGCAGCAACGTATTGGTCCAGGAAACATCTATGTCTTGTGGATTTGCTTGCGCCGCTTGCGGCTTGTGGGTTCCCTTCTTTCTGCCAAGGAATGTCCAGCAGCGTATTGGGTAGAGCGGGAAAGTCATACCTCTGAACGTTGCTGCATTCCTCATCCAGCAAATGAGCGGGCCCTCATGCTGAAAGCAGCACCATGATGCAGTTCACTGCTGTTTTGCGTGTCCGTCCCTGTTTCCCAAGTTCTTATCCGCGAAGGCTGCTTGGCGGAAGCGGCCTGCTCGGCGTGCCCCACGCCTTCGCGACAGCAGGCGTGCACGTGTTTCAACAATGCTATCTCTGTTGCCTGCAAGCACAGCCCAAAAATGGGTCGCGGTTTTGAGTCCCTTAAAGCCCGTTTGGAAGCCCTTGGAAGGCTACGGCCTGGGCCTTGCGCTCTTGGTTGTCTTTGGCACATGCTCCGCCTTGGGATGCCCGGACCTCTGCACTTGAGCCCAGAGCATGGTCTTGGTGCCAAGACTTCCGAGGTCACCTTCTGCAGTGTTCTGCTCGGAGGCGGGCCTGTCTAATCCGGAACGCGGCAATCCATGAACAAGCAAGCTTTCCCGACACGTCAGTGTAAGAAGAGAAGCAGCGGCAGCATGCTTCCAAGCACCTGTGCACTCTCGAAGGATTGGAGAGTCCTAGCCTCGCTGTCAGGATTGGCGAGGCGCCCTGCAGCTTCTATTCGGCCGGCCCGACCTGTTTACAGAGGGGAAGAAGACTTGGCGCGAGCTATCGCAGTTGATCATGGTGCTGAGGATGGTGATGGGATGATGATGATCACGACGACATTGAATCTTGAGGATGTGGAGGAAGAGGAAGCTAGCCATGAGGAAGAGAGCTGGTGTGGCAACGACAAGGCTGACAGGTGGTATGCTGTCAACTGCCCTCACGCCCATCGGTCAGGACCCAGCCTTCCGTGAATACAGTATGTTTCGACTGTGCCAGGTTTCGAACGCAGTTGCTCCACGATGGACGTGGCTCATTGCAGCCTGGCTGTTGGAAGAGTTCCGACTTCCGGTTCCGAGATGGCCCATGATTGACTAAGGTTCAGCTTTGATGTACCTTTCCCCTCTGAAGCCCTTGACACCTAACACCGCCGAAAGCCTTCCAAGAGCTTCCCAGGGTTGATTGTCCCAGAGCCTCTGGAGTTTCTTCCTTTCTGAGGATGGTGCGGTGATGGTGAAGTGCTTTGGGGCTCGACCCTCGGGAGCAAGCAGCGCCCCTCTGAGCCCAGTCGGTTCTGAAGCTCGCAGGTCGCCACTTCCTATCTCATCATCGTCGGAGACCTGGGGCCCCCTGTGGTGGCCTGAGGAGGGCTCAACCTGTCCCAACAGCCAAAATCAAAGACACTTGAGGCTTTGGAAATGCTGGGACTTCAAGTTCACCGCTGGGAGGTGATCTGCCTCGGGTGCTCCCGGCTTGATTCAAAGCTTCCCGTGCTCCCCTGCTAGCCTTCAAGCCTGGCATCCATAGACCCCAAGCCAGGCACAGCACCTGTCCTTTTGCTAGCGTAGAAACTACAAAGCTCGACATGAAATCCCAAAGCTCTAAACAGAACCTCACCCTTCCCAACCACCAAAATCCAGAAAGCACGGGAAGGT